GTACTGTGACAGTGCGCTGCTTTATGTGAATAATATGAATAAATAATATAAATCCAGTGTAATTCTAGCTATGTAGGAAGAGGAACAATTATGTTTCACCCCGAAAAATAGTAGTTGAAAACCATTTCATAGTAATCTTTTCATATAAATGGAATGAAATGCAAGGAAAAATTTCTTTAAATCAATTTTTACTAAAAATTATTCGTCGTTTTTACATTTTATTCTGCGCGTAGTGCATTTTTTTTTTTTTGATGCAGTGGGCAGTAAATTAAAAATTGTATTTTTAAATAAATGTAAGTTCTTTTTTCTTCCATTGAAATTATATATTTTGTTAACTATAGTGCGCGTAAATTTTATAATGTTGCGGTATTAGTAATTAATTATTTATTTTCAATCCTTTTCCCATTATTTGCGTCGTGTGCGCGAGGTTGTATATTTTCGCACAGACTTTATTTATTTACGCAACTCCTACATCCATATTGTATGATGTGATTCACCCGATAATATATAAAATGTACACAGCTCAATATTTTCCCTGATGTGTTTTTTATTAGAAGTATTTATACAGTAATATATTGTGTTCTAATGCATGACATTATATTAGTGAATTCATCGTAATCTATGAAACCTAAGTATAGCTTAGGCGATGTAACATTAATTACGAGTATAGTACGGCTGCGTAAATATATTATGAACTGCCAAAATATTGCAACAAAGGAGTAAAATTATGTATATGGATGAAGCAAATCTTGTATTCATCACCGTTGGTAAAATTCGTCTTTTATTTATAAGATGTGTATTAGATAGGCCCCTTTATATGACAGTTTTTATTTTATATTATATAGTACATAAATGGATGTATGATTAAGGGTCATAAAACAGAATTACTATGTGCCTTCCTCTCATCATATATGAACTGAGACAAAGAAAAACTGAATAACACAAAGGACTAAGAATATCCTCGAACGGATTCCTGAAAAAACTAAAATATTGCTACACATTATTTAAATTTTGAATTATTTGTTTTATTGTAACTGCCTTTAGAAGTACTTTCTTTTTATGTTTTCCGTTGTAATGGTCCTAAGGATATATTGTCATATGTATTGGTTCACAACCAACATAAGTTACCACGTAATGGACGACTTAGCTATTTAGGGGACATCTCGATTTTTATAATTGTAGGCATAAATACTGCTGCATATGTGTATGGAAAGAATTTTTCATGTAATATTTATTATTATCATTCCACTCCTTCCTTATGGTAATTATGGTTTATGCAATGCTTTTGCATTACGTAATTTATATTTTAAACGTTCCTTTTGGATAGGAGAGTAATGAAAGATTGCAATTCTATAATGCGTTCCCAGGGTCCTCACATTTATTTGACACCTATAGAATTTGTGGACATCTATGAAAAGACACTAGGAATAACAGATATGCATGTATGTATAACGACGTTTTCCATTTTGCATATGGTTAATTATAGGAAGTTAGGGAGGAACATACAAAATTCTTCCTTTGGAAACTCTAAGGGAATTCACATTATCGCTGTGAACTGATGGTGTATGAATTTCTAGAGAAATAAAAAACAGGGTAGCGCAAGAAATACACGTAATTATCATACCTCTATACATTGCTATCATCTATCGATAACATCCTATGTGTTTTTGAACTTTTTACACCTTAGAATGGAACATATATATACTCAAGCATATACATATATATATGTATCTTTCCTCGCTTTTATATGTGGGATTAGTTCATGAGTCATAAAGATAGGGAGTGTTAACCTCGTGAATTATGATGCGCCTCTGGCGTCATACAAGAGGGCACTATGGAAGGACGCGACCAGAAGAAAAATGGATGATACGGAGGGTACACATTTTTACGCAAGGACAGAACATAGTTACTAGTATATCCAGATTCAGATGAGAATATTGTTCATTTGGCATAAAAATGTGCCCGCTAAAATTACACGATTGTTCATGACGTGTTTTATCTATGCATATATAGAGGGAGTAATATATTGTTGAATTTGAACTGGTATAATATGAGTTCTAATTTTATATTGAACTTGTCTGTTGCATACGATTGAAAGGGGTGCTATAGCGTTTAATTGTGTTTACGCCTCTTTGTGAAAAGTGCTATAAGTGCAATGGAGCAGAGATATGCAAATGCCATGGGGTAGTATATACCTTTTATAATAAAGACAAAAAACAATACAAGAGCAAATGATGGCGAAGCGATTGATATCAAGGGACTATTAGGTCAAAAAAAAGAAATGATGAACAAGATTATAGAGACAACGGATGGCTTAATAAAGGCAACGACCAAGGGAGCATCCCGGTAAGTAAGTATTTCAGGAACAGCGTGTGCCGCAGAGCGAGTCAGAGGGTATAGAACAGCCAGCATCCAAAGCAGGATCACAGCCAATCGAATAACCTAAACAGGCAAAAGAGGCTTCTTCTTACAGAAAAGACCAAGAAACCAGAAAAGCCTGGGGCAGTAATCGGCAGGTACTATCCCACTGCGATTATAATATAATGTATCCACGAGCCCCAGTGAGATTCCTAATGAGCAGGCTGCCTCAGAGGGGAATAGACAAATATAAAATAAACGGGGAAGATTAGATTCACCTTGGTTGATAGGACCAGCGCCCCCGGAGTCATATAACAGAAAGAGAAGCCAAGGCCTTGTAAGTCGGCAACCAATAGAACAGTCCCTAAGAGAAAAGAGGCGCAAAAGGGGCGAAGAAAGTGAGTAGTCACTGAATAATACAAATCCCAGAGGATTAGGGGGGGGGCTTCATTACAACTCGCTCAAAGGTAAAAAATACGTAACTCCGGCCCTTCCTCTTCCAAAGAGACGAGTTCAATAATCGAAAAAACAGAAAAAAACTCCCTACTTAGAATACACCGTGTCTACTGCCTGAGGTTGCGCAAAAAAGGGAAGGATCTAGGAGTAGGGAACAGGCCGTACAAAGTACTACAAAAGAATCTACCGCCCGGCAGGGCAGGCAAGAATAGTAATACCAGACAAGATGACACAAATTCCTGAGAGTAAGATACTAATCCGTAAAGAGGACCAGGGAACTCCCTTAAAAAAGTAGGAGCTGGGAATATTCCCTGCCCCTCATTAGAGAAGATGCCGAGAGTACTAATCATAGTTCTAGAAGAGGAAGAAATCCCAATAATACCCTAAGGAATAGAGAAGTAACGACAGAACTCACAGGGACTAACCGCAGGCCCCTCGACGAGAATATAGGAGTATGAGCTAATGATGACTCCTGAGGGCAAAGATGAGAAGAATAAGGAACATCAGAAGATTAAGACGAAGGAACCAAAAGTGAGTAAGGAGGATAAAGGTGTCAGAGTTGGCAGATGACATATGATCAAGTTATTCTAATTTGAAATGTCGGCAGGTGGAGTAAGTTAATTCCGCAGCCCAGGAATAAAGGAAAACTGCAGTAACTCCTCAGACAATGTTCCAGGAAAACTAGGAATGGAGATATAAGAAAGATAAGATTAGAAAAAATTGAGTCCCAGACTTTGAAGTGATAACAGAAGAGAAGGACAATTATAATATTAAAAGATAAACAGCCTTAGGAGAGAAGATAAGGAGAACTAATCCCAAATCTCCTGCATTCTGTAATAGATAAGCCTGAAACCAGAATTCAAGGGCTAAATGTCTCTTCTACCGCAACGGTCGCAGAGCGAATAGACCTGCAACCGAAGTATGTCCACAAGAAATTACCAGACACACGCTTAACTGGCCGACCAACAGACGACATCAGGGGAAAATCTGGGCACTTCACCTGAAACAGATGAAATACATTATTGGTGAGCTCAGGAAACTATCAAGAGTGAGACAGAGCATATGAAGATGACTACAGGATGTGCAGATACCAAGCGACAACTGAAGAGTAACCGGAAAGACGGGCGGGGGAGCCCAACCACCAGGGAAGATCCTGTTTTCTTTCCCCCGGGAGATTAAAACAATCCCACGAGCAAATGAACGAGAAAAGGATCCATTGAAGTAACAGAACAGCTGAGGCAAAGCTAGCCTCGTGGAAAGATACCAACAAAATTAGGCCAAGAGACTCTCCCAGGGAACAATATAGTCCAAGCCAAGGGGGCCGAATACAATAAGAGAGGATAGATTTCGAACAACTTGATGACAAGGTTAAGACAGAATATAAACCATGATAGCGTGTGAAAAAAGAACAAGGACAGGTGACGAACAACTGGGGGCTTTTAATGCAATAGTACATAACGGATCCCCAAAAAACAAAACTCTCCCCGGAAACCCCAGAGGATATCTCCTGAATAGCCTTATCCCAAGGTGTCCCCTAAGAATGAATCGTCTAAACTGGAGACACGTGACATCTGGATATCAATAGCCCTTACATTGATTAAGAAATTAGAGCTGAACCTCTTGGGGACAAAAATTCCAGGCTCCTTCCTCAGATTCCAAAGATAACGTAACCCCCACCCAAGGAAAAAGCGGGGCCCGGCTGCAAACCTGAGGCGCCTAGGGAGTTCACTGAGAAGATTGGTGGTATTAAGAAAAAACGGGAGTCCAAGTTGACTATCACCACAAGCTGAGGCTCCCCAATACATTTCTGCCAAGGAAGACAACAAGTATTACTGATATATTTAAGAGAAGGATAGACCCCGGGATGTCAGCTTAGAGGGGAAAAATGTAAATGAGAGGACAAATAAAGTAGCCTCAGCTTCCTGGGAAGTGTATTATCAGTACAACTCGAACAGCATGTACGTCATCTAAATAACTAGAGTGCTAAAGTCTGAAAATTCAAGATTAGCTAAGATAATATATCAATAACAAGAACTCGATTGCTAGTAGCAGGAGAGGATAGAAGAACATCTAAGTGGATGAATAGGATTATGATTCCCTGAACCTGGGCAAAACTCGTTATAATCAAGAGGAGTCCCCATCAAGCACAAGCTTGAGCACAGGAAACTGAAAGGGAGAGAAGAGATACTATACAAGCCCACCTCTTTCTTTTCTTAAAGCCAGCCCGCATGGCTCTTATTCCATCACAGACGAGGAATCATTATGAAAGAAGTTACTTCCCGTGATTTTTCCAGGACGTTAAAATTCTTCGCCTCCCTCCACAGACTCAGGACAACCAAGGAATTCAGATGGAACACAAGACGCAACGGACGAGGTATGAACCTTCCAAATGAGATGAAGTGTCAAAAATAAGAAGGAGGATTCGTCACTGAGATTGACCCTTGTTCAAGGATAATATAGACGTTTCTAGTGGAGAAAGGTAAAGCGTAGTATCACAAGTGAGGACAACTAGACCACAAAACAACAAGAAGGAGAGGATTAGCCGGAGTCTCCCGAAACAGCCAAATCAAGAGCAAAACAAGCCCAAAACTAACTGTCCCAGAACAGCGATGATGAATACGTAACGATTTAGTCTTTAAAAGAGCGAAGAACGAGGAGCTGGAGTAAGTAGCTTTAGCAGGACGAAGGGTCTAAAAATGATTACAACCGGAAGGAACTTCAACTCCAAGGACGGAACAGATGACATTTAAGGAACCTCGTAAGCTTGTCCAAGAATAAGTTCAAGCGAATAATATCTGCCAAATCACCGCCCTTTACAGGAGGGACCTAGGAAACAGCCCCCAAACGGGCTTTAAAGGATTAAGGAGCAGCCCGCCTCCTGTAGGGAAGGTAGATTGTGAGAGAATCCGATTAAATTGGACCAGAGGGATTTGGTAGCTAAAAAAAAGGTTGAGTTAAAAGAAAGCAATTCCGAACAATAAGGGCAAGGATTACAAAGAAGAAGCAGGCGAATAATTGCACATAAGATGCCTGCCCCTACCCCTTATGTGAGATCCAGGAATAGTGTGGACTAAGATTAAATAGCCCGCAAAAGGGCTCCGGAGGGTTTAAAAAATAAGGGGAGTATCTCCTAGGACCAAGTCCGGCGCCGTCCCTCTGATAAAAAGGAACACAGCGCGGCATTATCCAGCCCTGAAATCGTGGTGACACCTGAACAAGTATCAAATCAGTCGCAGATAAAGAGGACAATCTCCTCGAGACCTTAGACTGGAATCAGAGGTATAAGGGAAGAAATAGCCAAAAAACGAGCCTTCGAGGTTCCGAAAATTCTATGGAGGGAATACTCCAAAGAGAAAACAGTAAACCAAGTAAGTAACTCTGTCAGGAGCGAGGATCCGAGGTCCTATATAAGGAAGGAATTGATATGATAAAGGTGATAGCTTTTCCATCATAACCCTCACCATAAGGATCAAGTTATTAGAAGTTCTTAGTCAGGATCTAGGGGAGGCATGATGAGGAGATTCATAAATAGGAAAGAGACTACCCAAAGGCGTCTTACAATAGCCAGTAAGTGGATTACTGATTAGGGCCGGACTACTAACTCAGGAGGCAAGAGAGGAACCAACTAGTATAACCCAGCTCAAAGCAGTCCCAACAACAGACATCTCAATAGAAAACACCGAAACGGTAAAATTACGAGCTCACCAAAGTGGGACAACATGCATTAGGCACGCCAAACCAGGATCAGTATATGTAGGGGATACGGAACCTTAGTGGAATTTAGATAGAGGACTTAGCCACCAATGAATGGGCCGAATTTCTTGAAGAAGCCTAGAGTCCCCTGAACCTGTATCCTAATGAAAAGGAGGATCCTAAAGAACGAACGGAAACCAAATGTCTTATTTATCACCCCATAGGGTGAGAACCCTGAGGGGACTAGGGCGTTTCCTCACCCAACCTAAAGGATCGGAGCCGAACCAATGACAGAGACAGGGGAGAATAAAGAATGGAGGATAGGTTTCTGGGTCAAAAACCAGGATTATTTATGGGGAATCAAGTACCCCCGGAGCTTAGATAAAAACTGTCAATCATCAACCAAGTATTGTTATCCGAACCTTACCAGAGAAGGAGAGTCAAGATGGAAGGATTTGCACGACTGGATATCGAGGAAGATGTTAGAGAAACATCGCTATAAGTGGGGAAAAGAATTTGATCCAACAGTCTTAACAGGCATAGGGGGGAAAAATTCACAACAAAGTCTAGACTGGGGAGACATCATTAATAAGGTTTTGAATCGAATAGAAGGATTAGCTCCCGTGGCAGGCAGTGGTAGGAGTAATTCTCTAAGATGGACCAAGGAAGAATGGGCCGAAGCATTCAAGCATCAAATCCCACTAGACACTCCGCTGGACAAGTTTGAATCAGGCAAGGCGATGTTATTCGTGATAATGTGTATAGTCACAGGTTTGATTGAGGGCAGAGCAAAGGAGGGGACAATCTTTAAGAGAAGAGGAAGGATGTGTAGCCCAATAGATACAACTTTGCAGTTTCGCGTCACGGATTGGGAGGAATGGATAAAGAAAACCGAAGACATAAGGAAAAATAGGGCAAATCAATGTTCCAAGCAGGCAGGGTATGACGGATGTCAATGGGCAGCAATAGCTTTAATTTTGAGTGTGTACGAGTCCATGACGAGTATCTGCAATCAATGTGGTCCTTATGAAGTGAGTTATTGGATAAGCAAAGATGACAAGACCGACGAAGCAATTGACATGCAACAATGTGTGCTTAACGATCAGCAGATAAATTGTCACTCCTTAGGCTCCCAGGCAGAAACTGGGAACATGATAATAATAAGGCCCGGTGAGCTGGATAAGATCACGAGGAGCCAAGTCTTTGACAGTGGTGATCAACAACGTGCGTCTTTTGAGGCCCAGGAAAATAGTCAAAACAGGATGATGACTTTAGCCACCGAACAAGGCGCCAGCAGAAGCAATGGAGTCGATCGAACTCAAGATGAAGGTCCTACGGAGCAAGTCGCGTTAGATCAAGAAAGCCTTAAACATCTCTCATCTTGTCCGTCCACGAATCCGGAAGCGCGGCAGTCTTGTATGAAGATCATTGAGAAGTCCCCCCTAGATCCTGAAACAGGAACCACATTTGAACCAAAAGTTGAGGGCCCGCCCCAGGACAACTTGACAGAAGCGGATAAGTATCTCAGGAAGGAGCCCCCTGAGGCAAGTGACCTTATCCATGGTATGGATGAAGCAGGACCTGAAGAGGCGGTGGGGAATCCCTTTTGGAAAGATTCCACCCCCTCAGTTTTGGGAGGTGGCCCCCGTTGGGCGATAATGGGCGGTTTGGGCGCCGTCGTGTGTTTAGCCATAGGGAGTGGTTATGGTCTGTGGAGGGCATTTGGACGTCGTAGACGGGCGCCCGACAGGTTAAGGGGGGCCCAGGCGGGAGAAGGGTATAGGTTAAGGTATGGATGAGTGAGGGTCTAGGTTTAGGGTGGATGAATAATCATTAGACACGTATATTATGAGTGTGTATATTGGTGTCCCTGTAATATTTGTATTATGGAAGTGAAGTTGATTTGGTCATGACATCGTCCTATATAATAGGGGGAGGAGTAAGGAGTGGATTGATATTAGCATAACCTATGTTCCCATATGAATAATAAGTAATGTCATACTGAGTTAGTGAATCCCATCGATCGAGTGTTCTAATTTCGGTTTTAGAGTTGTCCGTTGATTATTGTTTAATGATTCATCCCTTATTAGAAGTTGTCCATCAGAAGAATGGGTAAGGGATAGTAAGAGGTGAGCCTTTTTCTGCTAAGATATGACATTGTCTTACATTATCGTACTTAGACCGATCAGTTCTATTGTTCAATTGGGTGAACTGTGGTTCGATTCCCCGAAGTGACATTTATTCTACATACCAACACCTAAGTGAAGTAAGGGAGTCAGGGATTGAGATGAGATGATTTCCTTCCCCCTTTGACATAGGAAGTCAGCTTCCGGGATGGACCCCCAATATACCCTATTGTGAATCGTCTAATATGAGTTGTTAGGGATGGATTGTAATCGAATCTAGATTTTTCCTGACATATTGTGTTGGACCATATGGAATGGTGTGTATGGAATGTACCATCACCTATACTCCTTCCTTGGGTAAACATCACCTAAGTAGTCCATCCTGGAATATGTTGGTTGACCCACCTTAGGATGTCATTATAACCCAACAGTCTTAGAATATTGGGATTAACTTGAGTTGTACACTCTATATATTGTGAATCAAATCGTCGTCTTAGTATGGTGTTCAGGGTTTAGGGTTTAGTGTTCAGGGTTCAGAGTTTATTTTTTGGATATCACCTCCATGGCTGTGCTGTATATTATTCCCCAACGCTTCCATTAGGGACACTAATATCTACATCTTTTATAATATAGCCCCCTTGGCATCCTACGCCTACCTGATTTGGTTCTTAAGGCGTCGGGTTCGATATCATATTTAACAATTC